CGCCCATCCACCCACCTGACGGCGCAGAGCCAAGCCGCTCCCACTGAGGAGGGTGTCGGCGGTTCGAATAAAACACCGCTTTGCTTCGCTCAACTCCGGGTGGAAACTTCATATATTACAGGAAAACATTTACAGACTGGCTAATGGATGTCAAAACCAAAAGCTTGCCTCTAGGTCAACTTGTAATGGGCAAGCCAGCCAGCTATAAAATGCAAAACCAGTCTAAGCGACTCCCTAATATCTACACCTATGTAGTTCCCAGTGACATGTTTTTGCGAGTGAAACTCTCTGCCACAGCCACATTTTCATGCGTGTCTCTCGTGCTGCAGAGCCTCAAGGGGCACCGCTACCGCCTCCAGGGCGTGGTGGCCGAGCTGCAGGAGGCCTGCGCCGCCGCGGGCTCCAACCTCGACTACCAGACGGCCCTGCTCGCCTTCATCAACTGCCTCATCATCTCCACGCCGCAGCTGCAGGACCGCATCCGCATGCGCAATGAGTTCATCGGTACGTACGTTGTCATTCACGCAGAAAAAAAAATTCGTGGCTCTGCTGAGTTTTTAGCACCAGGGCTAAAAAATTAACTGAATAGACTCGGCTAATTTATTTAGCACCAGGGCTAATTTTTTAGCCATCCAGTAAACCACACCGTTTATTAACCGTGTAGCCATTTAGCTCAACAGCTAAATATTTTTACATCCAGCTAGTTTTTTTTGCACGGGTGTAAAATTGTGCAGTTAAACCGATTTGCACGGAACTGAATTTTATTTTTCTGCGTGCAGGGCGGGCGCTGCTCGTATGTTTGTTTTCTGAAACACAGCTGGATTTTAACACACACAAAAAAAAAACACATTTTGACAGGCAAGAAGGTGAAGAGCATAGTGACCCTAGTCGGCGCATTCGGCTGGCAATGCAGGGTATGCAAGTCGAGCGGTCCGTCTGTTGATCCAGCTGTACGTGAATTGGAAGAGTCATTCAGGTCGCTTCAGGCATCGATGGCACTGCACCCTGATCCTATCGGGGAAGATGGCCAGCGCCTCTGGCAGCGGTTCATCGACGGTGCCCTGTTTCCAAAAGGACCTCTGCACCTGACTAACCACCTGGTGGTCAAGGCCAGGGCCGAGTTGCTAGGACTGGGCGAAAACAGGTATCCAAAACGACACAGGGAAGCAACAACCCACAGTAAGTTCAAATAGGGAACTACCACGAACTGCGCTGTAAGCAAACCGGAACCTCAAGAAGAGAAGCACGACAGCTCGATCGACTTCCTCCTGCGCGCTAATTTGGCAGACCTTCACACCGACGTCATCGTTGCGACCAATCAGCGTTCAGGAGGAACAGATCGGGCAGTCATGATTTTCTTCTTTACGTTCCGATTTTCTTCTAGCGGAATATCCTATTGCTCTCCTTCTCCCAGTTCTTTTAGCAGATGCTACTAACATTCTTTTTACTTTGTTTGTTCACAGAGGAGGGAGGGTACCTGATTGAGCACTGCAAGAGACTTCTGGACGTTGTAGTTTCTCTCCACCCACCTATCGATGGCTACAGGTTTCAGGTCATAGTGCACCACTTTGGATACATCATGGATAAAATAATGATGCGGCGTAGACATGGAGTCCAGAGCATGCGCAGGACTGCTAATTGTGCAATTGATAAGGTAAGACACATGTTGAAGGACAGTTTAAGTTACAAATTTGGAATTATGCTGTAAATTATTCTAGCATAATGTAAAAAATAAATGGAACAATTCAAATTTACATCTTATCTTCACAGGGTGAGGGGTCCGCATAATTTGTGGACTCTGAATATATTCAAAAGTTGAATATTCTTGAATATTAAGAAATGTGTATGAATGCTTTAAACTCGTGAAATTTCACTGAATATCCTCAATAACTCTTAGCTTCATCATTGATAGTGTAGAATATTAACAATAAGTAATTGTGAATACTAGTGAATTTACTAAAATAATGTTGAAAAGTTATCATTTTTGCTTGAACCGTGCTTATCTGAAGTTGTGGACCCTTTGTCAAATGCTCCAACAAAAGTTTATGTTATAATTGAAAACTTCAAATAACGTGAACGTAACACCGTGTCACCTTTTCTGTGCATTTCTACAAGCACTAAAGATAATTCGGTGGTACAGCGGGTTGCCCATTTAGAACTGAGTTCACAATATACAAACAACTTTCAATTTCAAAGTAGAATATGACAAGTTTGTCAGAAGAAGGTAACGTTTTTGAAGTAAACAGTTGCTTAGGACAAATTTGTGATAGATAATTTTTAGAACAATGCTAACTGTCTCAATGCAATAGTGCAACTAGCCACTAAAGATGTGTACAAGAGCAGCACCTTTTTTTAGATATAATTGTCCCATGCCAGTCTAATTTTGTAAATTTAAATCTGTGTTTTATTGTAGCTGGAGAAAGAATTACGTGACCTTCACGCTGAAATTCGCCACATTGCAGTTTCCCGAGATGAACTGAAGACCATGGAATTCCTGGAATTGCAGTCAAAGAAGTTTTTATAAGTGGACTTTACTCTTTTGTTCTTGTGGATTAATAGATCTACTGTTGAATTTGTTTTAATGAAGGAAGGCAGATGAGTCATCTGCAAGAATTTTGTGTAGTTTAATTCCCATAAAAGTTGTTGCTTTTGAAATCGGGGTGGGGTATTTCTTCTACACCCCACCCCCATCTGTGGATTTAAAATTCTTAAAATGCAGTTTATTGGTACATTAAAAAAAAATTCTCAAGTAAAGGTAATGCCAGAGTTTTAAATTTTTTGATAATTGGAATCACCACCCCTCACTGGGGGACGCATTTTATGGTGGATAGAAACCTTACTCAGGGAGACTGGTATACTAAGTATATTGTAAAAGAAAAAAGTACAGAGTATCAAGGATTTTTTTTTTTTTTTTAGAGTGACTGAACTATTTGTTAGTTATCAATTTAATTGAATGTATAACGCCATTTCAGACTAAGCAGACACCGACTGCATTTTTAAAATAATTTGTTTTACATTCTGACTCTCTAAAACACTCTTGAGATTGACTTCAGTGAAAAAGTTTGCATTTGTGGGGCACGACACGCCAGCTACACTTTTGGCCCCCTATAATTAATCTGCCCTATGTTCAAGCATTCTGACACATTTAAGTATTAGTGTAAATTAAATTATTTTCAATTTAAATGTATCTTCTGCTAAAAACAGCGGAGCGTCTCCGCCCGGCCGGTCGAGAGGGGGGAGGGGCACGTTTTCCCCCTCTACAGAGAGTCTTGGGGACTGTCTAATAAACTTATTTGCGGACCCACTTCTGTTTGTTACCTCCTTTCACAAGAAAAATACATATGTGGGGTCACAAATCATCTTACAAGGGGACTTAGACAAGTGTAAATTCCCGATCTTGCCCGAACTCGGTAATTTGTTTCTTATCTATGTTGATGACGACTGACGATAGAATTTTTTCCTGATTGTCAATTGCTAGGGTAGTTAAGAGGAGCAAATTAAAAAAATATTGAATTTAGGCCAAAAATGACGGAAGGAGGTCTCAAATCGAAAAGTGATAGAGAAACTACCCCCTAAAATCCTCTCATTTTGAGTCAGAATAGCACTTCATATTTGAACAAAAGTAGAAATTTGTATTTTTCGAAATTATACGGTTTTATAGAGAGTTTCGGCATATGACACTCAGGAAAAAAATTGGTCGACATTTGTCACCTACATAGATAAGAAGCAAAAATACCGAGTTTGGGCACGATCGGGAATTTACACTTGCCTAAGTCCCATTGTTAGTGGAGAACATTAAGGCCTTATCAGGTTAAGGGCGATTAACAGTTAACAGTTGGGCACTGAAACTGAGGACTTGAACCGGTTCCCGCCGCCAGCAGTGCTGGCCCAGCACCATCACCGACGGAAAACTAGTCCAACGCGTCCAACGACGCTCACGGCGTATACGAAGTACAGCGAGGAGCGCAGCTGCGCCACCGACCCGCCCGGCGCGCGTGTGCGATGGGCTGCCTACACCGC